AATACAAAAACCTAACCAAGTAGGATTTTTTTATTTTTACCGTAATCTTGAAGTCAAGTTTGTAATCATAGATTTTTTTATAAAAAATAAAAAAATCATGCAGTAAGGGGTTAACAGGTACACTTCTCTCTTCTTATTGTGTGTCTATACCATCTAATTCTTTGCGCTTTTATTGCTCTAACTATGTTCTCTTGACCCACCCATTCTTGTGTTTTGTGATTCATCCATTGTCTTGCTTGTCTTCAACCCAATCCAATAATGTTTATCGTAGTTTAAAGCAAATGTATTAAGGAAAACAGTCAAGCGGTATTTTTTGCAAGCATAGATTTCATGCGTTTTACGTGCATGTTTAACTATCATTATTATTATTCTTCTTCTTCCTTCTTGTATGTAGGCGTTAAAGCATGTTTCTTCTTTAAGTTTCAGAAGTGAAAAAACAAATAACACAACAAAAGAATGAAGAACGGGTAAGAACCTGCGTAAATATTGAAACATACATAGGAAGACAAGAATTTTGGAGTCATGTTCGGAGTCAAACTCAAACAAAAAATTAATTTGGGAAATATATAGAACAAAGAATGGCAAACCTATTACAAGGAACTGTTAACAGAACAAAGACCACAATTCATTAGAAAAAAAAACAGGCGAAGACGAAGCAGATCCCCACAATAAGAAATAGAAATAACAGATAGGGAAAGCGCCGGTACCTGGAGGCATCACACCTAAGCTTATAAAGTACGGCTAAAAAAATTACACCGGATGATAAAATGGATATTTCAGAAAGCCATAGAACAGCTCCCAAAGGAATGGACGGAGGCAGATATGACATCTATATTTAAGAAAGGATATAGAAAATGATGCGAAAACTACAGAGGAATAAGCGTAATATCATCAATAGGAAGATTATATGGGAAAATACTGCGAGAAAAGATAGGGCAAGCGATAAAAGGCAAAATCGGGAGAATCAGGCAGGTCTCACGGCAGGAAGATCATTTATAGACCACATATAAACACTGGAGCAACTGTTGGAAAATAACAAAGCAAAAAATAGAGATATACATTTGGCATTTGTGGACCTGAGAAAGGCATACGACTCTGTACCAAGGTGAGAACTATGGGAGGCAATGTACAAATTGGAAATACAGACGGAACTCACAGAAGCTACAAAAGCTCTGTATAAAGAAAATAAAGTGTCCATTAAAATGGGAACAAGAATCATAGGAGACTTCACCAACACAAAAGAGCTCCTGCAGGGTTGTTCCACATCTCCAACCCTATTTAAAATATATTTAGAGAAAGCCTTGACTACATGAAAAAGAAAATGCGAAGGCATGGCAGTACCGGTACGAAACGAATACCTGTATACATTAAGCTTTGCAGACGATCAAGTAGTGATTGCACAAGACCAAGAAGATCTCAGTTACATGATAAAGAAACTACAAGAAGAATATACCAAGGCTGGCCTAGATATTAATCTCGCGAAGACAGAGTACCTATCTACAAGTAAAGAAGACATAGAAGATCTACAGATTGGCGATAACGTAACCATCAAAGAAAAGGATAAAGTCAAATATTTGGGGTTTATAACCACGAAAAAGGCAACAACAGAGGAAGAAATTAAGCAAAGGTTAGGACAAACAAGAACAGCAATCCGACAACTTTACTCAGTATGGTGGGATAAACACCTAAATATGAAGACAAAAACACAGATTTATAAAACATTAGTGCGAAGTAGTATGACATATGACGTTGAAAATTATATTATAAACAAGAAAAAACAGTAAGATAGTAGCGTAGCAACAGAGATGGAATGCCTGCGAAGATGCTGCAGAGTAACAAGAATGGATAGGAGAAGTAATGACGAAATAAAGCAAAGAACATCAATAGAAACAGACATACTATTTTCCCATCAATTTCGATTTTACATCGTAGTGGGTATTTAAATGTTATCTATGGAGTAGGGAGGGCGAGTTAAGTTTCACAGCACTTAGGCCACAATTGCCCCATTGTGCATCCTTCCAAGGAGCTGTCGCCCTTAGCTCATTGTCCATCCTGCCATTTCTAGGAAGGTGGACAGTCACCAGGAGACATCTCTCTTATGTGGGCAGGTGTGGGCCAGGAATCGCCGAACGCATACTCTCGTATTAACGATAACTCCGGGCATTCACATAGGACATGCTCTACACTTTCGTCTTCTCGTTCACACTTTCTACATAGAGGTGTGTCTGCTAGCCCCAGTGTGTGGAGATGTTTGCTTAGTTGACAATGACCAGTTAAAAAAACCAACTGTCAAGCGTAGGTGTTTCCTGGTCATTCCCAAGTACTTCTTTGATGCTGACTCTTCAAGGTTATTTAGTGTTACCCTGGCAAGTTTACATCCTTCCCCTTCTTCCCATTTTTTTATGGTTTGCGTATGGGAGTGACATTTGACAATTTCCGCGATTGTTGTAGTTGACCAACCAAAAAGATCTCTAGATCCTAAGAGTCTTAGGGCTGCCACCTTCCTAGCCAATTGGTCAGCAATGCGGTTGCCTTTATTCCTATCGTGTCCTTTAATTCACCTCAGGATGCTGGTATCACCATCTGAAGCCTGACTTAGTAACTCGTGACACTCCATTACTAACCCTGATGTGACACGTGGTCTATTCAATGTTAGTAGCGCTTGTTTGCTATCTGTGCAGATCATTATAGTTTTCCCTGCTATACCTTTTTGGGTAATCTCTTTTGCGGCTATGGAGATACCAGCCAGTTCTGTCTGAACTGCGCTGTCATTTTCACCCATACCCCACTTTATTCTTAGGTTCAGTGATCTGGAGTATATCGCGCATCCTGAGCCTTCTTTCATTTTGGAGCCATCGGTGTATATGCAATAGGCATTTGCCACGTTTGTCTCCCTATACTCTTAATTGAAAACGAGTTCTCAATTTCCCCGTTCCTACATCAAGGTTTGCACCAGCTGAGCACAGTCGCATCGTTGTCACTAGCGCCACCTCTTTGAAATATATATATATATATATATATATATATATATATATATTATATATATATATATATATATATCTAGAGGCGTGATGCCATTGATCAACTCCATTGCAGCAGTTGGTGTTGTTTTCATGGCACCTGTTATATTTATGCAAGCCATCCGCTGAATATGGTTTAGTTTGTTTATCGCTGTTGCTTGTAGCACTTTTGGTACCCAAGCAATAGCTCCGTAAGTTAGCATTGGCCTAATGACAGCAGTGTAGATCCAGGCGATCATCCTGGGCGAAATCCCCCAGGTGCGTCCAACTGTTCGTCGATACTGCTCATAGGCAATATATGCTCTTTTAGCTCTACCATCTAAGTCTGAGTTTCATGTTAACTTCCTGTCAAGGGTAATACCAAGGTACTTCACCTCGTCAGAAAAATTTAAACTGTAGTTTAGAATCCTTGGTGGTATAAGGCACGTGATTCTTCTTTTCCTGGTAAAGAGGACCTATTCTGTTTTCTTAGGATTTATAGATAGTGACTGTTCCTTGCATCATGTTTCTATTAGTCGGAGAGCAACTTGTAATCTCTCACATAGTGTGTTCTCAAACTTACCTTAGCAATATCGTCTGCATAGGCTATTGTGTAGAAACCGTTGCTGCTGAGTTGGTCCACCAGGGTATCTAGAACTATGTTCCAGGGCAGTGGTGATAGCGCCCCTCCCTGTGGACACCAGCTCGTAACCATGCCTCTGACAGAAACGTCTTCTACATTTATGCTTATTGCTCTATTGGAGAGCATACTAAATATCCATTCGCTCTAGCTGTTGGGTGATGGTTGGGAATGTGATTTTATCAAACGCTTCCTAAATGTCTATGAATATGCCTAGGGTGGATTCTCTATTATCCAGCGATCTTTCAATTCTTCCCACTACATGATGCAGTGCAGAATCGGGAGATCTTTTCGAAGTATATGCATGCTGATTTGGGTGAAGTGGGTTATGGACTAGAACTTCATCCCTTATGTACCTCTCGCATAGCCTTTCCATCGTTTTCAACAGAAAAGATGTTAAGCTAATTGGTCGGAAAGCCTTTGGTAGGGTGTAGTCCATCCTACCTGGTTTCGGTATGAAGACCACACGTACCTCTCCACTTTTTAGGAATATATCTCAGAGCCAAATGTTTGATAAATGCCAAAATTTAAATGTTATATTATCACATTGTATTTCTTGGCTGTTATATTGAAGATATATGTGTTAATCTTTGGAACTCGTCTTCTGTCTTGGAGGATATTTGTATTTCTTTGTTTTCCATTTGGTAACCAAGACCTTTACGTACTGCTTATATTATTTCGTCCATTAATATAGTAAGAGAAGTGGGCTTAACGAGTCACCCTGTCTGATTCGACTCCGCTTTGTACTGATATACGCTGTGTTAGTTTTCCATTTATCTTTGCCTGTATTCGATTTGGAGGTAGATGTTTTCGATGGTTTGTATAATATTGATTGGTACCTATGTTTCTTTTATACAGTAGGTGTAAGACGTCTTCGACTTGGATGCGACTGAAAGCCTTTGTCAGGTCTATAAAAGATAGATATGCTGGTTTATTATACTCGATGGCCTTTTCTGTGATTTGTCTTAGTACAAATACGGCGTCTACGCAGGATCTTCCGGATCTGAATTCTTGTTGTTCATCTGATAATTATCATTATTCTTTTTTCTTAATTATTATTTTTTTACATTTAGAAAATATTATCATAGGTTTAATAAAAATAAGGAGACTATGTAATTTATGTGAATAATTTATATTCGAAATGTCCTTTCTTAACTACGGCAATGGTTAAAAAGCTTCCGACTTTTGAGTTTATTATTCTAATTATATTCCTTAACTATGGAGACAACGCGAAATAAAATAACAATATCCCTCCCTTTCTATGTTGCATTTTATTGTTGCATTTCATTACTGCATTCAGTAGTTTACTAGCTGCTTGACATCTAACGATAAGCTAAATACATTCGCGCTTTATTATCAAAATGAAACATAAAATAGTTGACCTATACCAGTTACTTTCTAATAAACTTAAAGAATATGAAATAATCGATGAAAAAATTGGCGCGCTTACAGCCCCAGGAGAACATTATGGATCTGTCATAATAAGTGTTGACTTAAAAGTGAAATCAACAAACAACGGTCACGAAGAAAAAACTATTAATCTTGTTGCTAAACTGCTACCTGCGAATGAAATGCTAAGAAAAGTGTTTGACGTGTTAGTGACATTTAAAAAAGAAGTTTTTGCATATACCGTAGCTGTTCCCACTTTAGTTGCTTTCCAAGAAGAGTATCAAATACCAGCTTTGAAATGTTACAGTAATCTATTTCCCAGTGTTTTGGTGCACGGTTAAGTGTAACTGAAAGCAGTGATCAAGTTGATGATACCGGTGTTTTAATTTTTGAAAATTTGAAAACTCAAAGCTTTTATACTCACGATAGATTAAAAGGATACGATACAGAAGCAGTTAAAATTATCTTAAAAGATTTAGCCAGATTTCATGCTACACCGATTGCCTTAAAATTGCTAAAACCAAAAGTTTTTCAAGACAAAATTAAACCATGTTTAGTTCGAAATAAAGGTTTGGAACAAGTGAAGGAAATAGCAGAAGTTTTTCATATGTCTATCATTGACGGAGCTAAAGATTGTCCTGAGCTAGAACCGTATCTAGACAGAATCAAAAGTGCATGCAATCGTTTTACTGATCCAAATTTTGTCAGACCTCTACCTTCGGAACCATGGAGCACTATATCACACAGTGATTTCTGGACAAGTAATTCCATGATGCTTAAAAATTCTGAGGGAAAATACGTACAAAGTAAAATTTTAGATCTACAACTCCTAACCTACAACTCTGCTCTTTGTGACTTGGTATTTTTCCTTTTCACCAGTGTTATAAAAGAAGATTTGGAGAAAAATTTTGACAATTTTCTTAAAATTTATTATGACAATTTTATAGATACTGTAAAAGATTTTGATCTAGACGTGGAATTATTTTCCTGGGACAGTTTTAAAGAGGAGTTTGAAAAAGTTGGTCAAAACGAAGTTTACCACATATTGGTCATGTTGAAACCGATTTGTACCGAACGGGGGATCGTACAAAATAGCCCCCAAAATTTTGTGGACTCTGATTGGACCAGAAAAGATTTACTTGGACCGAGTCATCGACGAAAAATAAGAAACACAGTCCTAGCTTTTATTGAAAGAAATTGGATTTAATTGGTATATATAAATTATATTTATTAGTACCTAATAATTTACATTTAATAATAAAATTTATGTAAAATTCTTTATTTTTATTTATTTTAATTCTTTTACATATTTCTGATATGGACTTTTAATTTAATAACACTTCTTCCGCCACATATATTGGTAAGATGGGTGTGGCTTCTTGTTCTTCGTCTTAGTGTGCATTCTTTAGTAACACAACATCTCGAAGCTAGCAAGTCTTTTTTCAGTTACATTTGTCATTGTCCAAGCTTTCACTTGATATAACAGAACAGAGAATATATAGCATCATCATCATTATTATTATCATCATCACCCAGCCTTCATTTAGCACTTCCACTGCTGGACATAGGCCTCCCTTAAATTCTTCCATTCTTTGCGATTTTGTGCTCTTTGTTGCCAATATTTGGTGATACGCCTGATGTCATCAGCCCAACGTGTAGGTGGTCTTCCTCTACTACGTTTTTCTGCTCTTGGCCTCCAATGTGGAATTTTGTTCGACCATCGTGAGTCATGCATTCTCTCTACATGGCCTGCCCAATTCCATTTTAGTGCCGCTATAGTTTCCGCCCCATAGGTCATGACCAGCAATACGCATTGGTCAAGTACTTTTCTTTTGAGGTTAATGGGTATGTTGGCCCTAAGTGTGTCTTGCAGTTTTCCAAAGACTGCCCACGCTAAAGTAATTCGTCTGTATTCCTTCGTTTTTCTTTCAAATTTTGGCATTTGGTGGTCTGCTCCAGCCAAACCGGTGGCCACAGCAATTTTAAATGCTTTCAAAGACATGTTCGTACCAGTTGTTGATTGTTTGAAAATTATATATGAGTTTAGTAATGTTATGTCAACAAAATGAAAAAAAATTATATGCCACCAATTTTTGGATTTTCTATCCAATTCGTAGCAATATACTAACATATCAGACTTATCAACGAAGCCCATATATTTGTTGTAATGTTATACTAATTGTTTGCAATTAATTTCTACTGATGTTTCATCCTTTTCGTTCCTCTTCACAGTGACATTTTCTTCAGGTTTGTGAAAATTGCTTAGAAATTAATGGGTTTTTATCCATCCAAGCAAAGCTATCCGCTGTCTTAACTCACCCTCCAGTTTGAGTCACCACTTTTTATTTTTTTATTTATTTTAAGTTCATTTGGGAAACTTTTTCTATGTTTTCAAGTTGTTACACATGCGTAGATTTTCTCTTTTGTCAAGTCGCTTTGAAATGCAACAGAATTAAAATAGTTATCGAAATAATTTTTTCCAACTAAATCTCTTGTAAGATCTATTGTTACTCTTGCACCAAGGTTTTGCTTCCTTACATTTTTTACTTTTCCGGTGTATATTTGGAATTGTAAAACATATCATACCAATAACGCTGCTATATTCGCTTTTTATGGGCTTGATCGGCGTATATTAACGTAAAATACTTCGTCCCTTGAACCCCATCATGGATGGATTCGACTATTGTGCTGGGATAAAATGATCTTTATAGGTGGCTGAAAGTTCTTCTAGCAAAGACCAAACTTTGTAGAGTTTATCATAATTGTCATTACCTTTCTTAGGTTGTAATAAATTGTCATTTATGTGAAGAATATTAAGCAACCATCCAAATCTGTCACGCGACATACATGAAGAAATAAATTCATCCCTGATAACAAAATTTGCAGGCCAGACTCTATAACTAGGCAACTTTTTCACACTCATGAAAAGATTATTTCCAAAAAACACTTCTTTTCTTCAACTGTTGTGGGCATGGACGTATATGGGAGTTTTGTTTTTGCTATTTTTTTGGACTACATATAAATTAGTTTGTTTGACTAAATATAAAAAAACTGAAGAAAAAAATCAAGGGGAGTCTCGAAAGTATCAGGAACATTTTTTCCAACGTTTTCTGAGAAAGGACGAAGTTGAACGGCATTATTGGTGGTCTATTTTAACTCATCATCAAGAATAACAACGGATACCTCGTCTTTACCATCACTGTCAAGTGCACCATCTTCATTGTCTGAAATATCGTTTTGTTCATCTAAAACAGCTGACTTGAAAGTCATCTCGATGTCTTCATCCTCATTTTCACCAAAATCGGATACGTCAGAACCCTCCGATGGGATATCTGTTAGTAAAGCGTAAGCGTGATTACTTGTTATTTTACTCAAATCAATACGTCTTTCCTTTTTGGAATTCTGTAATAACAATAACACATACTTATTAGTTACTGATCGGCCTAGTGGCACCTATTGAAACTACCAATCAAAATATCAAAATTCACTTAGTTACCTAAGTAGGTCATAAAGACCCAAAACGGTAATACATAAATAAATACGTCTATTTATCAACAAATTACCATAATACATACCTTTTATCGGTAGAAGACTGTTTGTTTATTTACAACAATAAATAACCTCACTGTCATTCACTTGTAAACGCGTCAAATGTATTATGTACATACACATAATACATTTGGCGCGCTCTGATTTTTTTTTGAAATTTTTTCGATCTGAAATTTTGGATCGAGTGGTAAGTGAAAATACACAATTTATACATCGCATTCCGTGTATGATTACTCAGGCAGTAGGAAAACATTTGTTTAAAGTTAGTTCCACCGTGGAGCCACTAAGCCGCAAAGGGTTAAATTTCGGACGTTTGGTTATCCCTGCTGATTCTTATTTCATGACAAAAATACGTATATTTCTTCACCAGTTCTACCACTTTGTTTTGAATAGTTAAATGGTTATTGGGGACCATATTTGTCATAAACTTAGTTTTGGTCAAGTTTATTCTAAGGCCCACCTTTGAACATGCAAAATCTAATTCATTTAACATATATGTGGCTTCTCCTAAATCATCTGTTATAAGGAAAATGTCATCTGCGTCACGGAGATGGTTAAGTTTTTCATCGTCTATTGTTACTTCTCTGTGCTCCCAATTGACCATCTTAAAGGCATACTCTAATGTCGTTATGAATAATTTCGGTGACAATGTCTCTATTTGCCTTATCCCACGTTTTATTTTTATTGGAATATGTAACATCTAGTTCTAATTTATATTTTCAGTTTTCCATTGCATTATACTGCTTTCATTTGATTAAAAGCATTTCTGGTCATCTCAATGCGTTGTTTTACGTCAAAACGACACGGTTTTATTGTTCATTAGGCTCACAGCCTAGGTAATTGTATGTATGTACTTCCTATTTTCCTTTAACATAGTTTTTTTGGCAATCAATCTAGTTTTTGCTGAAAATCATGATTTTTGTTTATTTTTTGTAAAGTAAGGTAGTAACATTTCTTGCTTTTTGCAAATTCCTTGCTTTTTTTATTTAGTTACTAGATATTTTACTTCTCTGTTTGATCTTGTGTATATTCCTCTATCATCTGGGTCATTTGTTTGCACCCACTTCCGATATGCTTGTTTCTTGTTGTGTACTGTATTAGCAATGTCATTTATCCACCACAACGGAGTATCCTTTTTGTTCTTTTGAATCATGCCGAGTGCTTCATCAGCAGTTTCATTTACTTTATTTATTATCTCTTGGTAGGTATTCTGGGCTAAAGAGTAGATCAGGTTTGTCTATTTTTATCTCAGCAGTAACTTATATAAAAATGATGACGAGTCGTTTTGCAGTGCATCAATATTGTATTTGTATTTGTATTGTATTTGGGTGGATTCATTTCCAGTGGTTTTGATTGTACTGGTTGGTTGTCATTTCTATGTACGTCTGTGTATACATCTTCTACTTGTATGTGTGTTTCTCGTTTTGTGATAATATAATCTATAATTGACTTTGTGTTTCTCGTTAGCTGGACCCAGGTATACATATATGTATATTTTTATGATAGTGGAATCCGTTTAGAATTTTTAGAGAGTACTATTCGCAGAATTGAATTAAAATTGTTTCCAATTTTCATTTATTTTTGGATCTCCGTATTTACCTACGACATTGTCGTTTGTTTTTTTTTCCTGTCTAAGCATTAAAATCTCTTTGTGTAAAACAGTACAATTTCTTTGTGGCTATTTATATTTTTTATGAGTTTTAATAAGGTTTCGAAAAATATTTCTTTATTTGTTTTTAATGCACTTTCTGGTGGCGCATATATTCCTATGATTCCAAGATCGTACCATTTTCACGCAATAGATACTCTAATAATACTCTCATTAATTTGTTAGCAGCTTTTCGGCTTTTCTTTTAAGTCTTTTTTTTATTATTATTGATACCCTTGCTTGTGCTCTCTTGCCTTTCTCTACTTCGGTACAAATATGTATAAAACCTCATATGTCTTCGCTACATTGGCCTTTTTTCTTTATTTCTGGGCAAAAATGTCTATCCATTGGTGAAGAATACTTCAGCCATCTAAGATTTACAAACTATTATTTGCAGATATTCGGTAGTAACCTACCATAAATCCATAAACGACATGAAAAGAAATAAAGCGGCCTGTGAGGACAAAATACTGGCGGAACTGCTAAAAGAAGGAGGAGACACGATAAAAAAATGCTAAAAATACTGTTCAACAAATGTCTGTTTGAAGGTGAAATACCCAAACAATGGAGAAATGCCAACACAATCTTAATACATAAGAAAGGAGACCGAACAGACCTAAACAACTACCGTCTTATTTCCCTTTTGTCACAACTATATAAAACCTTCACAAGAATAATAAACAACCGACTAACCTATAAACTTGATAACTACCAACCAGTGGAACAGGCCGGATTCAGAAAAGGATACAGCAGAATCGACCATCTACATACGCTTAAAATCTTAATTGAGAAAACCAATGAATACAACCTTCCGCTGTACTTAGCATTCGTAGATTATGAAAAGGCTTCGACAGCATTGAACACTGGGCGGTTGAAGAAGATCTGGTCAATAGTAGAATAGATTCAAGATACCGACAATTGATACATGATATTTACCAAAACGCAACCATGACCGTAATTCTGGACGACAAATTAATAACCGATAATATAAAAGTTAAACGAGGAGTCCG